ATGAGTCTTGGGCCAAGCTTTCCAAACAAATTCTTTAATTACTGATTGTTTTGATTAATGTGGTGATTGGGTTAACTTTCCCCTGTATTGAGCGGATATAGGAGGAAGTTACACTAAGACTATGCTAGATGTATCTTTTCTCAAGTAATCCATTAACTTGTTAGTTTAGCTCATCTTTATCTTTCAAGTTCATTTTGTAGTGTGGTAAAGTAGGAACTTTTAATTCGGGAACTAAGTCTATTGCATGTTAGATATCTCTCATGGGTGGCAATTCTAAAGGTAATTCCTCGAGTGCCACATCTTTAAATTCATATAAGAACTAGGACACTTCAATAGGTATAGGAGTTTATGTATGTTGGGCAATGACTTTTGAAACAATTGCAAGAATAATGTTAGCCTCCTTGCTTTTTTGCACAAATTGCTTCTCTTTTAGTAAGTGGAGGTTATGACATTTTGATTTTGGACTTATAGAGTTAGGAGAACTCTTGCCTTTAGTTTCTAGTTTAGCATGATGTAAAAGAATAGTCTTATCGTCATGCTTGAATGTATGGGTATTTGCTCGGTCATGAATACTAACATGACGGTCATAAATCTAAGGTTGTTCCAATAAGATGTGCGACATGTGTAACATCCTGATTTCTTAATTCTAAAACTAATTAGTAAGTAGGGGTAACTTAGAAAATTAGTAAGTGATTAGGATTTTTTATGACAATTTGGTATTTTGACTATTTGAAATGTTGAATGAGAAAATATAAGTGAAAGGATCACGTTTCAAAGTGAAGCATGTACACGCAATAAGAATTTCCCTTACCATGCCATGTGCCACGCACAAGCTGCATGCACCACGGTATATGGCATAGAAAAGTGGTTAATAGATATGTATATAGCTCGTGAAATTAGAGAGGAGAGGTGAAAACACATGGAGAAGAGGAACGGAACCTTTGCTTTGCTAGGACATCCAATTTCAAAGTCGAAGGAGATACTTTTGACTAATAGCTTACTGATAAGTTTCATACTGCCTTTAGCTTTAATTCTACACTAATTTCTCTTAGTATAAGTTATAGAGAAATTGAATTGAAAAGTTTTAAAAGGTTTGTTTCTTACCTTTTTATAATAAAAAGATTCTCAAGAATTAAATTAAAGTTTTACAACTAGTTTGGAGTTAAACAATAAAGCTTTAAGGCCGTATGCTCAAATTAACATTAAACTAAGAGAAGAGGAGAGTGGAAATTGGGAAGAAAGTGGTTAGAATGGGTAGAAGTGATAGAAAGGGGTGATTAGATTGTAATGACCCTAGATTAATTGAGTGAAAGGAAGAAAATGCTTAAATGTGGTTTTTAGTGATAATTAGTACTTGTGGTCATTTTGGTTAAGTGACTAATAGTGCTAATTGTGCATAGATTAATGTGTTGCACATGTTAATTGAGAGAGAAAGTGTGTGGGGGAGCATTAATTGTTGAAAAATTCATGGGTAACCCTTTTTTATGATAGAAAAGTTGAGGTAACTGAATAACTTTTTCTATTTGATTGTCTATTATAACTATTTGTGAGTATTATAGCTATTGCATGAAATGGCTTTAGATTATGTATGTTTTAAGAAAAAAAAATGTTTGTACATGAAAAAGGATTTTAAGGAAATGGATTTCAAAGAAATGGTTTTTATGAAATGTGTGATTATATAACTATTTATATCTGGATTTAGAACTCAAACTATTTGGTTGTATATGACCATGATCATGGGGGTAGGAGTTCACTCATAAGGAGAAGTAATGAGAAGTCTATATGGCATTATTCTCCGTAATTCCTGACAAGGTGTGATGGTAGAGAATGTCATCTCCTTAATACCTATTGAGGTATAGTGTTAGAGATTATCTCCTTAGTACTTATGTGGGGTGCGGTATTAGAGATCATAGCTCCTTAGCATCTGTGAGATGTAATGTTAGAGTAACAACACCCAATCATTATGTGTGATAGGGAAAATCATAGTCTGAAAGTGGGAAAAAACACCTTTGTATGGGTGATTCTACCACTAAAAATGTGCTCAAGTCAATGAGTGTGTATTGGCCTAATAAGAGCTTATGGTTTCGATCGGGGTGATACGAAAGTTCAGATGGTAGTTGATCATGCTAGTGGTGATAATTTGTAATGAAAAGTGTTTTATAAAGTGAAATTATATGATTTATTTGATTATGTATATGCAATGCTTGTATACAATTTCTTATGATAGTTAGTAGTAATGAGTTATTCTATTACTAAGATTATTATCTCACCCTGTGGTTACATTTTTATAGGTCAGGGTGGCAAGCTGAGAAAAAGGGAAAGACTCAAGTCCTACATAATAGTGCTACGGTAGTGAAAATCAAGATCTTGTGTAATGAATTTTCTTTTGTTGTGTGTTATAAATGAATAAGTTGTCATAGGATTCATGTGCATGCTTGATTGTAAAATATGATGATTTTGTAAATCTTAGCCTTATACCTATGAATGTGTATTACATGTGATGAAATAGATGATATTGGGCTAAGATTTGATAGTGAATGTGTAAGTAGTGGTTATATGGTGAGTTGTGAATCCTAGCCTAATCATAGTGAAAGGTGATTTTGGATAGGGTTGTGTTGTATGAAAATATGCATGTGGGAATACGTTTGATGTGATGCTTGTGTTGTAAAGCCATGAATATATTGGCTAAATCTTGATGTGTGTATAAATGATAATGCTATTGGTCAATTAGGTGGGAATGGTCCTTTTGGACCTAGTTCTAAACTTGAAATGGTCTAATGAGACAAAATATGTTATTTGAACACTTTAGTGCTTGAACTTTTAAAGAAAAACAGCTTTTTACACCCCAATTATCCAAATTCAGATCGGATCGTTGGATCATGTCTAAATTTATCTCATTAGTTAGCTTATGCAATAAGTTTTGTATGGGCACTTGAATTACTCCGATCAAATGTCATATGTGAAAATGGTTCACATTGAAAGTTTACTTTTGTGAACTATCATATGACAGTAAAAAATGTCATGTACGCCACGGCGCATGGTGCCACATGTCATGGCATGGCATAGACAGGAAGCCTGTGGCTCTATGCCATATATTGCGACACATATGGTGAAGGCCGTAGTACATGGCCCCTCTTCTAATGATGTTTCTTTGATTTTAAACCTTTGCATTGAGGGTGATGAATGTAAGAAATTATCTTCTGCCGTGCAATTTATCATATGTTATTATTTTCAAATGGTTTTAACAAATAAGTCTTGGGTTCCCAAGCATTTTAAATAATTTTCTTCGACTTCAGTTTGGTATATGATGTGGTGATTGTGGTAACCCCTTCTAGTATCAGGTGTATATTAAGTAAGGTAACAACACGTCCATGGGAACAACAATGCAAAGGACTTCCTTTTGATAGTCACCTAAACAAAGGAGCACTTGATATTGTTGCGTTAAAGGCAAGGAAGTATTATCAATCCAAGTAACATGTTAGCAAATAGACAATAATGCCTTGCTATCACTATTGTGGGCCCTATAACTATTCCACATTAGCAAATAATAGAAAAGATTATAGGTCTTTAAATATCACGCCTAGAAAATATGGGAGTGACCGACATAGGGTACACACTTAAACACATATCCTTTAAGTCTAATTCAAGAAATTTTTTATTTTTTTTTATACTTGTTACTTAAATGAAGCCTAAATATTTTGTGGAAATTTCGGCAACATTTCCCTTGTAAATGGAGTTTCTCAAAATTTTATAATATCAATGTTCAAACAGATATTGTAACAATTAGGAGCTCAGCTCCTTCCAGCCGGCGGACAAAGTATTTAACAAAATAAAGACCCTTACCATAACCTAAGTGGAGCACCTATAATATTATTTACATAGGTACAATATATAAATTAGAATTTTACATAAAAAATAAAGTTTAACCAAAATGATGTCTCAACTTCAATTCGATAACAGATCGCTTGAATGCTTTGACAAAGTACAAGCTATCTGAGATCAAAAATATTTTTCGGTGAATAACGTCACAACCATAATATTTTGTAGAATCAAAATGAATAAAATATAACCATTACATAAATTAAATTAGAAAGCAATTTAATGTAACACATTTGTAAACTTGGAATAAAAATTTTAAAGAACTTCATAACAATAACATTTAAATCTATAATAACAAAGTAGCTTTAACATTTGATATTGATAAATCAAAATAATTACATAAATGCATAAGTGAAAATAATAATATTTGATAATTAAAAACCATTAGAGTGTGAAATCATTAATTAAATAAAAATTTAAATTTCTAGGGATTTATCAAAACAATTCACGAACGTAGACACACAGTCCACGAAGGCAAATAATCAAACGTGACTTATGCCACAAAAACAAATGTGAACACACAGTTCACGAGGGTAAGTAACCAAACGCAGTTGAAGTCATGAAACAAAATAGATACACAGTCTATAAGGGTAATACTAACCAAATGTGAATATGAGACTTACGAATAATAAACGTGAGAATAGAGCTTAGGAAAATCGAACTAGCTAGTTATTTACAATAACACGCCAAGGGCTAATGAAACTGTCGTTAGCAACCAGTATTCTGTATAAAATTCCCTTCAAATCCATTTTCAAATATGCAAGAAAATCATTACTATTGAAATATAATTTTCATTCTCATGATCAAACTCACATAAATAGTTTTGAGCATTAAAAACTTGCTAAAATAAAATTTCATGACTAACATCCATGGTTGGCATTTATTTAATAATTCAAAAAAAATAGTCTCATCAATCTTGAAAGTATTCTTCATAAAGAAAAACATACACATACCATAATTCAAATATCCTTCAACATTTTTTTATAATTTTCCAAGGTAAAAATAATTTAATTAATAAAGTATTAAATACATTATATAATTGTTATTCAATGATCTATGTAACAAAATATCTTTAAAAAAAGAATTTAATTGATAAGTTAGTTGGGACGCTATCCGCTTACCTGTAATATCCTCAAGGCTCAAAACTCATTTCTTATGACTCCAATCGAGCTTTCCTTCTTCCAAACATCCTGTAATATATAACATTATTTTAATAGATTTTATTTTTAAACTATCAAGATTCCTTTTCGAGAGAACCCACTCAACCATAATTAACAATAATAACTTTGAAGTTTTAGGAATACAATTCACACATGAAGGTTTTTCCCATAACATTCAAACCATAGTTAATTATTCAATTAAATTATAATCTTTCTTTGGGCTTTTTGTCAAACACCTACTGTATAATATTCTAAATTATTCAATAAAAAGTTATAACCTTTAATTTTCTTGCCCAACAAATGTCAAGTATCCAAATATAATTTCAAAATGATAATACATATTAAGAATTATAAGCCATATAACTCTCAATAATCTAAAATTCAGATAAGATCTCATTAATTCTTTAGATAAATTCCTTCACAAAACTCAATTAAGATTAACCAATTAACAAACCCTAAGCCCAATCATGCTTCTTGTAAGATTAACAAGATTGCACAAAAAAAAAATCAATCAAAACTCTCCTAGTAGGCATTTTATTAAATATTTTACAAACATTTAATCTTAAACTTATATCCAAGTTCTTCTTCCTTATATCCTTTTCAAAATTTCTCAACATCAATATTTAGATTAATCAATCATCCTAAATTTCATTCTTTTTAACTGAATCAAAATAATGCTCAAATAAAATTCAAACCCACGCTACATCTAACTCTAATAATATGAAATTTCAGTTCGCCTAAACCTCTCCTCAATTCAAACACGCACAGTAGCCAAGTAAGAGGAAAATCACAATCTCTATAATTCAAACACTCACACAAGATAATGAAGAAAGAGAGTTCAATACCCTTTATCACTGCAGCAACCATTCCTTTAACACACACACACGCACAGAATTGAAGAGGGAGGAAGAGATCTGATAATCTTTTTTTTTTTTTTTTTTATCTCTAACCAACAATAGCTAGAAGGAGACGCTGCTACTCACATAAGAAGGAGGAGGAAGGAAGAGATCCTCACGTGTCCACAACAGCCACCCGAATAGAGACCAAAAAGCATCGTGAAACAGGGGAGGAGAAGAACACGCAAACCAGAGACAGGGACAAGAAAAAAACAACAAACCAGAGATAGATTCAAGGCAGCAGCAACAGAAAGACAGAGTACCACACCGGCAACAAGAGGGAAGAACAATAGAAGTGATAGATGCTCCTTGAAACTCTCTCTCACGCTTGCTCTCTCGGTGTGCCCGGACGAAAATAAGATGAGATGAAGGGAGAAAAATATCTAATAGCTAGGAGGGCAAAATAGTAATTTCAAAAAGCTGTGGCTCAAAAATAAAATTTCCTTTCTTGGCACTCAAAGGTTCGAATATTAGACCTATAACTATAACCCCACAATAGTTACCAATAAGCTACAAATTCACCTTGCTAAATTTACTCTAAAAGTTAATAAATATGCACTTAAAATATATAATTAGTTTATTTTTTCCAATTTATTTATCTGAGTTATTACACTAAAAGAAGAGAAATTTTGCTCTATGAAAAAAGTTTTAGAAGACTTATTGTCCCACAATTTAGTACAAGAAGTCTAACATTCTTTAGAAAAATATTGTGGAGGCAAAATTACCTTTAACGTTATATTTTAGTATGGGTAAAATGACAAATGAGCCCTTAATTTTTTTAAAAAATTATTTTGAACGTTCTATATTTTATATACTCTATATAGGAAATCAATAACTTTTTTTATTTTTAAGAAACTGAAAACATTTCCAAATTGGTTATTTAGCATAGCTAGTCTATAAAGTCCATCAATTTATATTTTTATATATTTTTAAAATAATAACAAACTTTTTACACCGGTTCTATGAAACTAGTGTAGAAAGTAGTTTGTAAACTGCTTATTTAAAGATGTTTTTTTTTTCAACACTGAAAACTTTGTACATGGATTATTTAAAATAACTGATTAAATAACTAGTGTAGAAAGTCAATAATTTTTTTAATCTGTCTTTTTTAAAAAAACCAAAAAATTCTACAATTGTCATTTAAAATAACTGGTGTAGAAAGCCAATCAATTTTATTTTTAAAAAAGATAATAGCAAAAGTTGTACATCGGGTCATGGGATAACCAGTGTAGAAAGTAGTTGTACATTAGCTATCTAAAGAATGAGTGTAGAAAGTGAGAGGAAAGTTTACTTATTTATGAAAATGCTACTGCACTATTGCAAGAAGATCTTTTTACATCGGTCATTTTAGACTTTTCTTGTCAATTATTAATAAAAATCAATGTGAGAAGTGATTTTTTAAATATAAAATATTTTTTCAACACATTAGTTTGTTATTCCTTCCACCTCTCTTCTTCATTTCAACCTTTATTCCTTCTAATTAATTCACCATTTTTTATTTTTTTTCAGATATAGTTTCATAACCTTGTTTACAAAATTCCTGCATTTCCTTTTACTCTAGTTAGCCACGTGAAGACCACTCCCATTTATAGTCATATGCATCGTGTGATACTGTGAGAATCACTTGGTGCTGGATCCTAGAGTAACTAAAAGGAGATCTCTATTATCAATCCTAACATGTGAGTGTATAAATAGTAAGGTGTCAATTTTTATTTTCACATGTATTTGTCCTTTCTAGTCTCATCAAATTTTGATCATGTTCTTGTCTATTGGTCTGGGAAGCAAATCCAAAACTTGTTTCATCTCTTTATTTGTGGTTCTTGGATCATATAAGCATTTGAATCAAAATTTAGTTTTAATTATTGTTCTAGTCTATTTTTTTATTTTAAAAATTTATGAGACATGGTTCTTGAAATCTAAAATTAATATTAGTAGTACTACTTCTAACATATTATTATATTTTTTTTCTTTTTCCTTGTGTTTCTAATCAACTTTGTGTTTTAAAAAAATTGTTTTTTTAAACAATAAATTGGTTTATTTTCCATAGGAGAAAAACATTTTTTATTTCAATTATTCTTGTTTTTAATTAATTTTACATTCTTTTATTTTTTCAATCATCATTTTACCTTATTTTTATATATAAGTTGTTCGCCAGTAGATTTACACAGGATCATTATTCCTCCTTATGGATTATAAGGAATAATACATGATATGTTGTATTGGATGAGATGGTTATTCCTTCCCATGAATTATAATGAATAAGATATGATATATTGTATTAAGTGAGATAGTTATTCTTTACTATTGTATATGAAATATATATCTATATTGCATAATAGGTGGGATGGTTATTACCCACCAAGATTGATATGTTAATTGAAGGAATGTTTTGATTGCATATATGATGACCATGGCATGATTGTCAATTTGGTTAACTAATGAAGATTGGAAAATTGTTTTATCCTTCAAAATTTGAAATGTGAATAATTGAACATAGTGACATTATTTTATTGTACAATGAAAAATCATTTGTGAAAAACTCTGGTGCATCTTTGCTTCCCTTACGCACACTTGGTTATTTATGCACTTACTAAGTCAATAGTAGATTCACTCCTCTCTTGATATTTTTTCTAGATGAGGCTATTGTCAAAATTCCTTATGATGAGATACCATTCCTAACTAGATGACATAGACAACAAATAGTTGGATAGTGTGAAGGGATTCCATGATGTTATGTCTACTATGGTGGTGTTTAAGTCAAGGTATAATGTCAGATTAATAGTCATGGTTTCATATGAAGCTTTTTTTTTTTTTTTAAATTTGATTGATCTTTTTTATTTTTTTGACACTCCAATCTAGTGAGAAAGGTTTAAATTTGAATAAATAATTTATATGATTGGGACACTTTTGTGTGGGAGGTGTAACTAGTTAAGGTTTTCTAGGCTAAGTGGGATTAAATTAGCTTAGCCTATGTGCTAGTCATGACTCAAGTCTTGGGTTAATTTTTAAACAAAATTCTAAATTCAATTTTCTTATTTCAAGAATATTTATTTTTTTAATTTGTAAATATTAAAAAAAATTTGGCATAATTTTTCCTTAAATTATGACATTCCAAAATTTCAACAATATTAAAAAAAATTTGCAAAATTTTCCCTTAAATTATGACATTCCAAAATTTCAACAATCATATAATTTTCACCAGCAATAATTGAAATTTAAATATCCATTCCAAACATGTATAATAATTCTCTAACATTATAAATTTTAGATATAAATTGAACAAAGAAACAAAGTATACATAAGCTATGAATCCAACAAATAAATCAAGAACAAATATTCTAATATTAATAATTAAAAAAAGAAACTTAGACAAACCATTTGAATCTACACATACCCAATAATTGTAAAATTTTAAACCACTATATGGATCGGAAAGCAACCATTAGTCTTGTGTGGTGTTCCAAACCACCTAGTTGAGAAACTGAATGCCCAAATGAAGAAAAAGGACTTAACAATGGAGATTTGAAACCCACATACTCATACTCATAATCATAATGCTCAAGGAAGACACACATACAAAATGTTGAAAGAACAAAATGAAATGTCCCAAATCCTACTACACAAGAGTAAGAAGACCCATAAACTACCTTGAATGTAGCCACAAAGAACAGTGACAATGTGACAATTGAGGAAGACAATGGTGGCAAGGAAATGGAAGAAGACAGCAAAGGACCCATGCAATAGGGGGAAGACCCATGCAATAAATGGAGGTGGTGATGACAACAACGGCTGGGCTAATAGTAAGGAGAACAATGATGGAAATGATGATCGATGGTGCTATTAGTGGTGAAACTTGGAACCTTTGAATACATAAAGGAAGAAGAAGGGGACGAACATGTGAGACATAAATCAAAAACTAAAAAATGAAGAGACGTGTGCATCTCTTTATTTTTTTAAAAGGCATATTGATAAGTCACATTTATTACAAACTTTTTCTTGTTATTATTCATCAAAAATCATATTATATTTTCCTAAGTTTTATGCTTATTGCATTGATTGTGAAAAATTACCCAAGTGTAAAATTCCATGCATTAGGAGTATTTTGGTTATAAAATTAGAATTTTAAGAAAATATTTGAGAAAATTTGTCAAGGTGCACTTTTAGTCTAGAAAAACAATGGTCCAATTATATTTCTCAAACTCATTTTATATTGAGAGTAATTAATTTCACAAGTTTATTGTTTTGGAAAGTCAAAGTTTTAGGTTAACTTATTTTCTTATACTTGAACTAGGTCATTGTTATGCATGTGTGGCATACAAATTTTAGGGTACTTGGAATGCCTATTTTCCCTCTTGTGATATCATAATTGGTTTTTATTATTTAATTTGCATTAAGCCATAAATTTGAGAGTTGATTTTAATTAAAAAATGCAAATATTATCCATATGCTTTGAACTTTGGTCTTGTATGTCACATTTATTTGTTAGGGATGTATCCCTGGATTTGGCATATGAGAACCAATAGATTGAAATACTAGATGAGTTAAGAGGAAAAACATGAGTTTTAGGGTGAAAGTACAAGCCTTGCATGGTCTTACACATATTGTACCACACTTTAATTCCTCTCACTCTATCTCTTAATTTTTCATTACCTTTAGCTTTATTTAATTCAATATTTTAACCTTTTTATCTGAATTTTCATCCAGTTTACATGGTAAAGAATAAAATTACCATAGGTCATTTTTCACCCATTTACTAAACATTAGAGTTAGGCCTATTTACCCTAAATTTGAATCAAATTACCTTAATTTCATTTTTAGCATTCATTTCTTCCATTCACCATCATTTTGGTAGCCACCCTTCTCCATCGTTTCTCCATTATTCTTCTTATTCCTTATCTCCATCTCCACTTCTCTCCTCCATAACTCATTATCCAACTATCAAAACCCTATCTAACTCTATCATTCTTCTTCTCTCACTTCACACTTCAAACCCTAGTGCTTTGTTTCTTGGTTTGGCTTTAAAATCTTCAAGGTGTTTGTGAGTATGGCTTCAATAATGATGGAAGGATTGTGTTCAAGTAGATTCTAAGATGACTAAAGGCTAAATCTATAAGGAGTACTAGAAGGGAAGGATGCTAGAGGAGTCTTGAACTGTCTCAAGGAACATGAAAGGTCATGGCCACTCTTCATTAAACCTAGGTTGATGTGATCTTGTTCTTAAAATTAGGAGCATTATTATATCCTATTTTTATTGACCAAATTAGTATTTAACTTGATGGTTTATTGTTCTTCCAGTTGATTCTCCTTTGTGTATTTACTAAAAATTTTCTCCAATATATTGTAATTTATATAAA